AAAAAAAAAAAAAAAAAAAAAAAACAGCCCCATGGTTGGGCCACGGCCGAGATGTCTCGGCCACTATGTATCCCCCTCGGCGGCGGACATACGCGGACGTGCGGACCCATGGCGGCCGATAGGGAGGTCCGTTCGGAATTTCGAAAACGGCTCCCGGCAGCGCATCGGCGTCCCTAGGCCTGCGCACTGAAAAAAAAAAAAAAAAAAAGTAATTTTCAGTGGGGGTCACTTTTGGTTCCCTGTGACCCCCCGAAAAAAAATACCCCCACCCCCTTTTTGCGATTTTGTCGAAGCGGGGGTGTTCGACACGTCGCAATGCACGTGTCGACGGAAAAAAAAAAAAATTCCGGCGGTGGTTGGGGGTTTGGGGAGGGGGTTATTCATTATGGGCTTTTGTTGTGTGTTGGGGTGGCAAATGGTGTGGGTTGGAAAAAGTAGGTCGGTGGGGACAGTTTGGGGGCCGCCCGTTTGCTGTCGGTGGGGCCCGTTACGGTGGGGCCCGTTTGGGTGGGGCCGGCTTGGTGGGGCCCTTCTGCTCGTTATCTCATCCCATTTGGTGGGGCCGGTTTGGGTTGGTGGGGCCCGTTTGGGTTGGTGGGGCCCGTTTCGGTGGGGCACGTTTGGTCGGGCGCGTTTGGGTGGGGCCCGTTCGGGTCGGGCCCGTTTGGGTGGGGCCCGTTTGGCGGGGCCCATTTCCCGGTTATCTCATGCCATTTGGTGTTCTCGTTTGGGTTCGTGGTGCCCGTTTGGGTGGGGCCCGTTTGGGTGGGGCCCGTTTGGGCGGCCTATTTGGTGGGGCCCATTTCGGTGGGTCCCGTTTGGTGGGGCGCGTTTCGTGGGGCCAATTTGGGCGGTGCTCGTTTGCGGTGTGGGTGGCCCGTTTGGTGGGGCCCGTTTGGTGGGGCCCGTTTCGTGGTGCTCGTTTTGTGGGGCCCGTTTGGTGGGCCCCGTTTGGTGGGGCCCGTTTGGTGGAGCCCGTTTGGGTGGGGCCGGTTTGTTGATGCCCGTCTGCTGGTTATCTCATCCCATTTCGTGGGGCCCGTTTGGGTTGGTGGGGCCCGTTTAGGTGGGGCCCGTTTGGTGGGGCCCATCTGGGTGGTGCCCGTTTGGGTCGCGCCCGTTTGGGTGGGGGCCGTTTGGCGGGGCTCGTTTGCTGGTGATCTCATCCCATTTCGTGGCGCTCGTTTGGGTTCGTGGGGCCCGTTTCGGTGGTTCCCGTTTGCTGTGTGGGCAGCCCGTTTGGTGGGGCCCGTTTGGTGGGATCCGTTTGGTGGGCCCCATTTGGTGGTGGTTATCTCATCCCATTTGGTTATCTCATCCCATGTGGTGGTGCTCGTTTGGGTGTGGGCGGTCCATCTGCTGGTTATCTCATTTGGTGGGGCCCGTTTGCGGTGGTGCTCGTTTGGGTGTGGGCGACCCGTCTGCTGGTTATCTCATTTGGTGGCCCAATGGTGGGGCCGTTTGGCGGGGCCCGTTCGCTGGTTATCTAATCCCATTTGGTGGTGCTCGTTTGGGTTCGTGGGGCCCCTTTGGGTGGGGCCCGTTTGCAGTGTGGGCGGCCCATTTGGTGGGGCCTATTTGGGTGGTTCCTGTTTGCGGTGTGGGCAGCCCGTTTTGGTGGGGCCCGTTTGGTGGGGCCCGTTTGGGTGGTGCCACTCGTGGTTATCTCATCCCATTTGGTGGGGCCCGTTTGGTTTGGTGGGGCCCATTTGGGTGGGCCCCGTTTGGTGGGGCCCGTTTGCGGTGTGGGCTTCCCGTTTGGTGGTGTGGGCGGCCCGTTTGGTGGGGCTCGTCTGCTTCGATCACTTTCATGATGTACACCGTGACATTATGCAATCACTTTGACACACAACGAATTAATGCATCGTCCACACCGTCATATCATTCATCCAGTTTCACTAACTTTTACACACAACGTTAAGGCAAACACAAAAAAAAATAAATGAAAATTCATTGGCAATATGAAACAACACGATCATCCAACGGGAGAGTAAAATCAGTACAACTGCTGAATGACACAAAAAACATGTCACATAAGAGTCAGATCCCCGGATGCACAAAAGTCTCGTCGGAACAAACTCCTCTCATGTATCATAAATGTCACCCACCAAACAGAGTGAAATAGCTGTCACTGCTATACACTCACAAAAGCGGAGATATAAAAACCCTACCACAAATAACATAGTATTCGTGAAAACCTAACAAAACCAGAAAACCTAACATTTTTTATAGAATAAAAAGTGAAAGTCAAACTTTTATTTTTGACACATAAAAGAGAGCGTTTTTAACTGTTTCTCGAGAAAGAAGGCAAAAAAACTGGCAGAAAGTCCAACGGTTCTCAAAATGTGCAAAAAAATCTTTTCTAGCAAAGAGCACGTTATAGGACTATAAGTCGTTCTTAGTAGATTGACAAAAAACATAGCTCAAACAAAACAATCTTAAAGGTCTTCAAGGCAAAATCGAAAGATGTTAAAAAAAACAGTTTCAGTGAATACTCATTTATAGAACTATAAGTCATTTTCTGGAGTTTGGTAAAACCAGATTCTGGGAAATCGAGTTTATAGAACTATAAATTAATATAACTCCATTTTTAAAATAACTGTAAAACCCTTGTCAAAAAATATATTTTATGTAAAAGAAGAATTCAAACAACTTTTGCCTGGGAGACATCTTCAAATTCTTAGCCAACCATAATTTAAAATAAAAAATAAAAAATTATTTAATAAAAAATACTAAAAAATAATAAATTTGTCCATGTATGAGAGAACATATCCAAGCAAATGTATTCATGAACAGGAGAGCATGTGTGCGTGTTTGGGAGACCCCCGAATAGGTTCGTCGTGCTACATACCTTATAGAACTATAAATATAGTTTTTTCAGATAAACAAAAATTGAGATAATTCGGTGCCTGAACAAACGGTGCTTTGCAAGGTAGTGATTTTTTGTAAAAAAGCTTGCTTCTCTCCTCCTCACTTCCAGTGGTTCTGAAAAAGTACTTTCCTATTCGTTTTTTGCGGTTAATTTACTTCACATAAAATTTTGTTCGTGTAGGAGGCTTGAAAAATGTACTATCAGAATCTTTAAAAAATTTCGTGCAAACCTAACAATTTTTTTTGTTTGGTTTTCACGAATACTATGTTAAATAAGTGAAGAACTAAAGTACATGTGACGAACTAAGATAACAACTGTTCTTGCCATGACTTATATCCACCTACATTAAAAACTAGATAGTCTCCGTATGTATAGAAGTTATCCTCTGGGATTAAAAAAAAAAACAAAAAAAAAACGTTGTCAATAGTGTACACATGTGTCGCAAAACCGAAGACATAAAAACCCTACCACAAGTGACTGCAAAGCTAAAGTACATATGAGCAACTAAGATGGGAAACTGCTGTCACTAGTATACACTACTATACCGATGTGTCACAAAAGCGAAGATATACACAACCCCGCCACAAAGAACTACAAAACTAAAGTACATGTGAATCGCGTCTAAGAAAACGAATACGAAGCTCCCTCTGAAAAAATAGGAAATATCCAAATCAAAACCACAGTACATATATCTACCGCCCCCCGCCTTTGCCGCCTCTGCCGCCTCTGCCGCCTCTGCCGCCTCCGCCGCCTCTGTCGCCTCTGCCACCTCGTCCATATGTCGGCGGTGTCATGTGTGCCTGTGCCGCGACCAATCTCTCTCTCTCTCTCTCTCTCTCTCCCTGCGCCTAGCAACCTCGATGGGCTCCTCCTCCGTATCAGCATCCGAAGTGCGCGCCGCCGCCATCCTCCTGCGCTCCCTGTCGAGCTCCACTCCGTCCTCTCCATAAGTGTAAAACGCAAGTGCAACCCTGCGTGAACCTAAAAGCATGTCCCTGCGAGTGCCGTGTCCAGGCTGATCGAGAATGCGATAAGCAGTCGTCAAACTCGGTGCCGGCCTGTGCTCCTCCGAGTCCTCCCTCAACCGCGCCTGGTGCGTTGCGAAATCACTCCTCACTCTCTCGTCAACTCGTCGCACTGTGCTCCACGAACGGTGAAATGACTGATGTGTGTCGAGGCGAGGTGACGAGGACGTCGCGACGTGGTCTCTCCCGGCAGCTCCACCCGTAACTGGTGTCGGAGTGCTGTGGGGCACGGTCGGTGGAGGAGGTGTGAGTGAAGTGGTGCGAGCCCTGTGTGCACCCCGAGCTGCTGCCATGGCGGACTCCGAACGATGCTGCTCGCGCTCCAAGCTCGTTGGAGAGCCAGAATACCGCGGGGTCACAGGTGTGTACAACGGAGGCGATCGAACCCCGACCCCAAGAGATCCTGCAGCTCCCCTGCTAATCGGATCCTCCACTCCTTCACGCTGCAACGCATCAGGGTCGAGTGACCCAGGTGTAATCTCCCCCTCCTCCATATCTGCTGTGGCGTGGTCCTGAAGGTTAGGTGGTATACCGCCCTCCTCCTCCTCATTGGCACCGCCGCCTCCCTCGACATGCTTTGACAGAACGTCGTGCGCCACCGATGAAGGATGCCACAACACTAACGCCAAAGACGTACTGCCTCCGACCTCCTCCGGATCATCAGTCTGCAGGTCCATGTCGTCACCCCCAATGGGGCCGTGTGACAATCGACCTGGACCGGCACCAGGCGACGGTGAAAGTCGCCCCACAGTATCCGCCCCATCATCGGCCTCCACACTCAAATACTTATTTTTCCATGACTGCTACTTTAGAAAGACGTGAAAGTTCAAATTTATGGGGTCGTTTTTGTGACTGGGTTGCCAGCACTGAAAACCGCCTATACATTGGATGGTTTGGTGTATTAATGATTCCTACTCTTTTGACTGCAACTTCTGTATTTATCATTGCTTTTATTGCAGCTCCTCCAGTACTGCCTCCTTAGTCCGTACATCATCGGGCTGCAACGTGTCTGCCGCACGAAATCCAAGTACGACGTCGGACACGGCATGATCTCCATGCTCTGGATCGCGATGCTCCACCCCGCCCGGATCAGGTACTACAGCACCAGTCTGCCCCTCAGTCTGTGCAAGGTCAGGTGCGAATGGATCGCGATGCTCCACCCCGCCCGGATCAGGTACTGCAGCACCGGTCTCCAAATCCCGAGCACGCTGCTGCTCCGCCATGTACACGGCTCTACCCGGCCACTCTCTCTGCAACACCTCCAACAGCTGCTCCTCCTCTCGATCCAAGCGGGCATGGAGCTCCTCCGTCGACTCCGGTACACCAGCCTCCATAGGACGATACTCGACGTCATCCCCCACTCTCTCTCCCCTGTGGCCCCCTCCTGGAAAACCGCTGTCAGAAAGTCCGTGTCCGAGTCCAGGAAAGTCACTCGTGTGTAGGTCCGTTTGCTCCCTGTCCCCTGGAGGTGCCGAGGCGGGTGTGTGCTGGCTCGGCATATGCTCAACTGTTCAAGAAGAAGTTCAACTGTTCAACAAGAAGAAGAAGAAGAAGAAGAAGAAGAAGAAGAAGAAGAAGAAGAAGAAGAAGAAGAAGAAAAAGAAGAAGTAGAAGAAGAAGAAGAAGAAGTAGAAGAAGTAGAAGAAGAAGAAGAAGAAGAAGAAGAAGAAGAAGAAAAGGTTAAAAAAAAAAACTTACCAGAAATGGCCGCCGTCCGCGCCAGGCCCTCCGGTTTCGTCCTCGTCCGCCGTCCTAGTTGGCTGCCCTCCGCGGCCCTGCGGACTTGTCCGCGGATTGCCACGTGGCATCTCTCTCTCTCTCTCTCTCTCTCTCTCTCTCTCTCTCTCTCTCTCTCTCTCTCTCTCTCTCTCTCTCTCTCTCTCTC